TGCAGTTTTAGACTTTGAAGTGAGATCTGCTAGAGAGAAGAGTTCATGGACTTTCAGAGCACTAATAACTTTTGAGTTGCGCCCACTCCTTGACTACATTTTAACTCCGTCTTTTTCTGTGTCTTACAGACAGAATCAATCAAAAGTTATATAAGCCTTTAAAATTAACCAAGGCATTTCAGCATTCTGATGTGCTCAAGTTGTACAGAATAGTCAAAAATCTATAAAACAATGTTAACACATCATAAAAAGCTTGTAAATAGCAATTGGGTCAGAATGACTTCTTAGATTGATCCCTCTATGACAGATTTTCATTGATGTCTCTTTATTTTTCTCTATTTGTACTGACACATATTGATATTCTTGTATATTAATCCATGTTTGTAAATAACTTTATTTTTTTTGAAACTATTTTGAACTAGTTAGGTGGTAGGACAGAGCGAGAGAGAGATAGGTGGGAGAAGATGCTTAATTTAGTCAGAGTACAAGTGACACAGACAATAGTAATGAGCAGTTCTTCGTTTTCTTTGAGTGTAAGAAGAGCTGCGACAAATAGCGATTTTCTTTTCTTTTTTCTTTTCCATTTTCTTTTCTTATTCACGTTATATATAGTGTGTGCTCACGTTGCAATGTACGGTACACATATATAACATACATTAAGACTGTTGTCTGTGTAGAGTGTGACTTCAAGGACTATTGATTCATGTGTTTTATTAGTCTCTTTGAGTGTAAGAAGGATGAGAGAAGCAGCGTTTACTCATCATGTAGGGCTGATTTTGACGTTGCCGATGGGAATGGTACTGTCCAGAAATTAACGGGATTTTAGTGAACAAATGTATCTGATGTCATCTGGGATTGAATGAATACTGCTGCATTTTTCGTTGATAGGAAACCATTTTTACTCGAAAAAGAGAGTGGACCGATTTCTAACCTTATAACTTACTAGCCCCATTAAAATTAATATCCGCCACGGCGTTAGCTAACTTCAACGTTCCTTTATTGAGATTAACAATCTTTATGCCATTTTTGTCATCGCCAATATTTCCTGTGACTTCACCACCAGTTGGAAAGTTTAATTCTCCCTTCTTTCCACCCGTACTAATCACTTTACCATCAATTTTTTTACCACCCTCAATAGTAACTTTAGCGTTAAGATTTTTATAGTCTATGTTCCCTATGATATTATCCTTAGCATCCACTGTACTAGCCTCGTGAAAATTAACATTAGCAGTAACTTCTTTATTAAAAGTAAGTCTACTAGTGTTTATATTAGTTGAATAAACTTCAACACTTCCAGCAAAAATTGGTATATCAAAAATATTATGACCAGCTCCTTTTGAGTCTACTTCTCGTACTCTTGTTACCTTACCCCTTTTTTTTCCTTCTTACCAATTGTTCCTCTTCTATACCCAGGATATCCTTCCACTTCCACGTCCGAAATTGTTGTTATACTTTTACTATCAATCGTGTTAAATTCAATTATACCCTCATTATCTTGTGAAGCTAAATCGTGATGTAAAGATATTGTACGGTTTGCCTCATCTGTTTTATCATTTTGGAGTTGTAATTTTGAGTCTGGATGTAAAAAACTAATTATTCCTGCATTAACCAAGAGGTCAAACTTACCCTCTTTACCATTACCCTCTTTACCATAATTCACATTCAATATTGCGGGTTTTGTAGTGCCCTCATTGGATCCAATATTTATCTTGTGTGTATAAGCAATATTTGGGTCCTGAACCAAAAAATCACTAATAACATTTAAGGTTGAGCCCTGATTAGTTCCGTTCATATACCCAAATATACCATTAAAGTGAATTGGTTGGTTATCGGCAGATTTTACACTTAATGTGGAGTTAGTAGAAGCAAAAACAATTTTTGATATTGCTGTATAATTATTGGATTTTGTTTGAAATTCTGGAATACTACATTTACCGGTTAATATAAGAGCTGCTTCTATATTCTCCTGCTTTATATCTTCCACTTTCGCTTGGCCTATAGTTACTGTCATTTGCTGGTTATTAACTAAATTTACTACAGAGCCAAGTGAGCATTCTCCAATAAATTGTAAATCAGTGGGGGTCTCTGCGCCTTTACCGTTAATATCGATAGCTTCTATGGCTACTTCAGTACCAACTATTTTAGTAATATTATCCGTGTCAAATTTGAGGGCATCGCCAGAGCTAAAGGAGGTGTTTCCATCAAGCCCAGTTCCTATAGAGGTTCCTGGAGAGAGCCAGACGTCTGTTCCTGTGGTGGTCCTTATTTTTACAGCCATACTGTCGTTAATCGTTAATAGAGAGGTAATAGTAATAAATAAAAATGTTTTGTTAAAACACTTCACTTGCTGTTTCATTATATAACGCAAAGCTCAAAATTTGTTAAGACATTAATAAGAGCAGCGGTATTAATACTGCTCTTACTAATTCATTGGATCATTATTAATCTTAGTGGGATTATTTTAAGGACTAATTTATTCTATAGTGTTATCAATCAATTGACCCCCCCAAGCGCTTGTACATTATCATACGCATTATCAACAACATCTTCGGCAGCATGCCCTGAACCTTTCTCGAATGTGACAGTATTCGAATTATACCCAAAGGTACTTAATAGATGCTCCTCCTTAACGCCAGGGGTCCCTTTAACGCCAAAGGTCCCTCCTATAATGTGTAAATGCCCTTTAAGTTTTACTATTCCCTTATGATGAGTCTCACTAAAACCAGGGTCTATATTGTCTTTAAGAATTATTGTATATTTTTCAGAATCCTTATTTTCGATTATTAATTCCGATGATTGATTACAGAAGTTTATACGATCATGACCTTCATATAAGTGCCTTACATTTGTATCTTCAGCATTAAGAGAAATATGTTTTAAATCCTTACCACCTTTTTGGGAGTTCTTATTGCTTCCAATTAGCAAGGTATAGGTTGATTTATTATCAGTTGAGCCAATATTAGTTTCATGAATTCCTATACGTCCATCATCATTTAATTCTTGACCTGTAACATCATGGATAACCTCAGTTATAGCATTAAGCTTATTTATACCCCAACCTTCCCCTACGAAACGTGTTTTTAGCGTTACTTCGGCTTTATTGACAGCATCTACTTCTAGGGTCAAATTATTTTTAGAGCTAATAATATCAGTGAGTCCACTATAATCATTAGATGGTACATCAGGGGGATTACCAGTTCCTGTTAATCTAATTTTTAATTCAGGGAAATTATTGTCGGAGGAAGCTAGACCTGCTTCATTTCTATCGAAGAACACACCACCGTCGCCGCTCGCAGTGTGAGGACCAACGATAGAACCAATAGATATATTATGAACATTGGGTTTTATAAAACACGTTGCTGAATCAGTTGCTCTATTATCAATATAGCGAATATCTATATTATCAAGATCAATATCTAGAGTAGAAAACCCAACGCCTTTTATCGCAACTAATGCTTGACCCGATATAAATGGCCCTTGGCCACTAAGTCCCTCGCCATTTGCTAAATAGGCATGGCCTTTTATAATATTTCTAATTTCTGGTTTAGACATATACTACCTCCTTTTTAAGTTAATTTTTAAATAAACTATGTTACTTTTTATTAACACGTTACTAAAGGTAACTGATTTATTATTAAAACACACTTAATAAAATTTAATAAAATTATTTTAGGGTAGTTAAATTTTCTTAACCATTGTAAAATTACCATAGCGTATATAAACGGATCTTATGAAGGATTTGAAAATGAGCATGAATAACCTTGCAGTAACCATCTCCAAGTTTAGTAAAAAATAAATTTTTATAAGACTTGTAGTAAATTAAAAGGTTTTTTTCAGATGGGACAAGAAATTATCTAATTGAAGCCTTGGTCTACTGGATCTCTGGGCAGTAATAATAGAGTGGATTATTTTTAACGTGATTTCAAAGTTATCATTAATAACTATATAATCATAATATTTTGCATAATCTATTTCTGTAGCCGCCAACTTCAGACGGGATTCTATTACCTCGCTGCTATCTTGTCCTCTATCTTGAATTCGTTGTTTTAAAGTATTAAGATTTGGGGGTAATATAAAGATGGTCACAACATTTTCTAATGCTTGCTTGATGGCTACCATACCTTGGTAATCTATATCAAATAAGATATCCTTATTTTGATTCAGAAGTTTTATTATAGGAGCCTTAGGTGTTCCATAATAATGGCCATAAATATAAGTATATTCCAGTAAAGCGTTTTGTTTAATTAATTGATCAAATTCATCGGAAGCTTTGAAATAATAATTAATTCCGTCAATTTCATTAATTCTTGCTTTTCTGGTCGTGGCTGAGATAGATAATGTTAGATTAAGATCAATTTGTAATAAAGCTTTGGCTAAACTAGATTTGCCAGCCGCTGAGGGGGAGGATAAAATAATAGCAAACCCTTGATGCTTTATTGATAATACCATCTTTAATAAATTATTATTACTAATCAAACTATCATAACATCAATTCGATACAAAAATATTTATTTTTGTATCGAATTGATGGATTAAATAATGAATTACCATCTCTAGTAGAATTCTGCAAGAGATCTAATTTAGAATTTTTAGAATTTAAGCTTTGCACCTATTAGGGCTACAGTACCTCTGGTTTTTGCTTTAGGAGCATCTACTAAGCAAACAGGTCTACCTTTAGCCTGGAAGTAAGATATTTCAGCATAAGGTAGCATACCAGGAGTTACTAAATATTCAGTACCTAGGCTGACCGCATCTGTAGTATTTTTATATCTGAGTGATCTAAAATACGAGATACTTGTCTTAATCGGACCTTGAGTGTAAGCAACTGCACCATTATAATATTCGGTAACCCGGCCAACTTTATGATAAGCGGGAGTAGTTAAGCTTTTTCCTAAGCTACCATAGGAAGCTCCACAAGATAAATTACCATAAGTTAACACAGCTCCGATATTGTAGGCCTTTAAGCTTGATAGCTTACTTTCCAATTGAATATTTTTATCTTTTTCATTATCTAATATTAAAAGTTTTCGTGCAGGTTTAGCAAATTCTCCAGTAACTGCCACTTCCATTGCAACATCGTCTAAAAGTTCGTGTTGATACGAAATACCCGCTGAAATAGCATCTTTAACATTTTGGTTGAGTACTATAACATTATCATTTGCTAAAACAATAGTTTTGATGCCAGTTTTGGATTTACTACTAAAAATTTTATCGTTAATATCTAAGTTTTTTAGGTCGCGATTTCCCCCAGTATTGGCAGAATCAGGGGTATAAGAAATACCAAATTGAAAACCCTCCATTTTAGGAGTATAATAAGAGACTTTTCTTGCCGCTTCTGTTTTACTGGTCATATCATTAAAACCATTAGAAAATGATTCCATATAAAAATTATCAGAAGTATCAAAATCTGGCTTTAAACCTTTATATAACATATTTGGACTATCAAGCTGTATGTATTTGTTCCAGCTTGTCCCGGTAGCAGCAACTACTTTATAACCAGTAATACGCATTTTAGCTCCAGCGTCGTAAGGAGAACCTAACTCTATCTTTCCATAATCTGTTTCTAAGAACAAATGTGATCCATTAACACTTAAAGAAGTTTTCGGCTTAGTTGTAGGCACTAACACTATCTTCGCACCAGCAATCACGTTATTGAGTTCTTGTTTTATAGTGGCAGAAAAAGCAGCTTCAGTAAAAAATGCAATTCTTTTTCTGTTGTCAGTAAGGTTTTTACTGACGCCTTGTAGTTTATTTTGCTTACTATAGCCAGCTTGGAAGCCATAAAATCCTTCTAATTTTATTTCTGTGTCGGATGCGGCATCCGTAGGAAAACTGCAATTAGCGGCCATGATGGTACTGCTAAGGCAGGAAATCCCTAAGAATATTAACAACTTTTTCATTATATACCTAAAATATTACATTATTTAATATATCTCTCCTAGCACTTCCTGTTATCTTCAACAAGCTACTTGGGATTGAACTTATAACTACCGTGCATAATATCATTAAACTAAATTTAATATAGCTAAAATTATTGAATAATATTGTTATTTGGCCGTATTTTTGTCCGGAGTGTTAAAATTATCACTTTATCAATTAAATTAGGCTTATATTTGGCATAGATTATACATTTGGTTGTTAATTATATAATATAAAATAATATTTAGGTTAAGGTTAAAAATACGGTTAGGTTATTTAACCTTAATTTAAGAACAGGTTTTAATATTTTAATATAAACTTACATATATTATTTAAATTAATGTTAAAAAATTATTATTTCATATTTATGATTTTAGTAGTACAATAATTATTAAGGTTCGTAGTACCGCTCTGGCCTGCCTATTACTAAAGGAAGAATTAAGACTAACTAGAGTATAATGCTTGCATAAATAATAGAGAGATTATTAATTAAGATTAATAAAAGATATTATTACTTTTATTTTTTAATTATATATTTATATTCAAATATTAAATTAAATACGAATTACTATGGCCATTATGTCAGATAAGTGGATTAAGAGAATGAGCCTTGAGCATAATATGATCGCCCCTTTTTGTGAAGAGCAGGTTAAGATAAATGGGTTAAATAGAATTATTTCTTATGGTCTATCTTCTTATGGATATGATGCCAGAGTTTCGACACAGTTTAAAATATTTACGAACATTAATTCTACTATTGTGGATCCTAAAAATTTTGATAAGTATAGTCTCGTAGACAAAGAAGTTGAAGTGTGTATTATTCCCCCCAATAGCTTTGCGTTAGCAAGAACCGTAGAATATTTTATTATACCTAGAGATGTATTAGTAGTATGCGTAGGTAAATCCACTTATGCAAGGTGCGGTATAATAGTAAATGTCACTCCTTTAGAACCAGAATGGGAAGGGCATGTAACATTGGAATTTTCTAACACTACTCCTTTACCCGCAAAAATTTACGCTAACGAAGGTGCGTGTCAATTTTTGTTCTTTAAAGGAGATCAGATTTGTAATATATCATATGCTGACCGGCAAGGAAAATATATGCGGCAACAGGAAGTTACTTTACCAATAACTTAAATAATTTCAATTAACGATTGTGTAGAGATTAGTAATTTGTTATAAAGGAAAAATTAAGTGATATTCTCACTGATTTTCCTGGATATTTGTAAGGAACGACTCTTTAAAAACAGTATAGATATATTATAGATTTCCTGCATAAGTTGATAAGGTAAGTAATAATTTGGATAAGGCAAGATGATATGGAAACTTAGAGGAGAGCTAGTTATAATTAATTAAAGATCAGACTAGCAATAAGTAAGCTAAAATTTTACGGTAATATACTACTTGTACTTCAAAATTGAATTTTATTTTGAAGGGTTAGGGCGCATAGCGTATAGACAGTACGTGAGCATACGAATCCTTGATAAAATTCAATTCTTGAAAGATGAGTAGTATAAGCTTCAAAGCGACCTTGTTATTAGTTGATATGCTTCTTTGCTTTAAACTTTATCCAGCAGCCAGTATCTTGCAGTCTGGTAGTAAATAATTCTAAATATAAGGATCACTTAAAATTATGACAGAACATAAGCCGCAAGAAATGCCCCATATTTCTATAAATGCTCAATATATAAAAGATCTTTCTTTTGAAAACCCCAATGCTCCTGGCTCGTTAGGTGCTTTAGATCGTAACCCGCAAATTGACTTATTTTTGGACCTTAACATTGTTAGTCTACCTGAAGAGAACTTTTATGAGGTGGAATTAAGTATAGAAGCTAAAGCTAGGAACGAAAACCATAAGTTATTTATAGTGGAATTAAAATACGCGGGTATTTTTAATTTAATTAATATTCCTACAGAACAACACAAGATGGTATTAGCGATTCATTGCCCGGCAATGATTTTCCCGTTTGCAAGAAAAATTATTTCTGACGTGACTCAAGATGGTGGATTTCAGCCGTTAATGATTGATCCAATTGATTTTGGAACATTATATAACAAAAAATTGCAAGAAGAAGGCCAAAATTAATGAACATCAAATTGTGTTACTTGTTAGCTCACAATAATTAACTAATGACAGCAAAAAGGTAAGATTAAACAATAAAGGTAAGATTAAACAATTATGTTAACTAGAATTTTAAGGGGGGAGGAGGTTCATAGCTCATTGTCAAGGAATTACCAAGATGGACAGGCAGGACTCCTAGTCTCCGCTACGGTGGGGCAGTGAAGTTAACCTCGATATTACTTTAAGTGAGGAGCATACTCAGTAGATTTCTAGATCTCTAATTTTATTTTGAGCGGTAAGCGTGCGGAACTTACATATTATAAGTACTTGAGCACGTGAATCCGTGATAAAATGACAAAAAACGCTCTTGAAAAACGAAGAGTAGCGCCCTATCTCACACTAGTTGCTGGCTTAATAAAATAACTTAATTTTAGTTCTATTGTATTTGAAATTAAACCAGTTTTTGAAATATTAAAAATGTGTTGTTGATTAAATCCTATTAGTTTTTATTAAAAAATGACTCAAGCTAATAATTAAATTTAATATAGTAATAAAAAATTAGAGCATATAAATTGACTATAGGAGATAATATTTTTATTATTGATAGAATAATATTATTAACTTATAGTTTATGAACGAACAGTGATAGCGAAAGAATATCGCTATAAAAATAAAAACATTAAAATTTGTATAAAGGAGAAGAGAATAATGAGAGTACTTCTGATAGAAGATGATAGTGAAGTAGCGAGCTCTATTGAACTAACGTTAGCTTCAGAAGGAATTATTTGCGAAGTAGTAGAATTCGGGGCAGAGGGTATAGAAATAGGTAAAATCTATAACTATGATTTAATTATCCTAGACCTTATGTTACCGGATATAGATGGCCTTGAGGTGTTATTAAGATTACGCTCTGCTAAAGTAAAAACTCCAATATTGATTTTATCGGGTCTTACTACAGTTGATCAAAAAATAAAAGGTTTGACCAGTGGAGCAGACGATTATTTAACCAAACCATTTAACCGTTCAGAACTAGTTGCGCGTATTCATGCTATTAGCCGTCGTTCCAAAGGACATTCTGAGTCCGTTATTAAGTTTGATAAAGTTACTATGCACCTTGATACTAGAACGGTAGAAGTATCAGGCACAAAAGTGCATTTGACTAATAAAGAATATGCTATTCTAGAACTATTAGTCATGCGTAGAGGAACAGTGCTTAGTAAAGAAATGTTTTTAAACCATCTGTATAGCAGTATTGAAGAGCCAGAGATTAAAATTATAGATGTCTTTATATGTAAATTACGTAAAAAGTTAGCGGATGCTGCTGGGGGCACCAACTATATTGATACAGTCTGGGGACGGGGGTATATGCTAAAAGAGTATAATAAAGATGAAACAATTCAACAGTCTGAAAATACTATAGATCCGTCTATAGAGTTAGAATTGGATGAAGTGAAAAAATAATATTAGCAAGGAGCCTTGTAAACAGGGATCTACTCTTTGTCTTTCAAGAGTTATTTTTTGTGTTATTAGAGATTTACGTACTCCGCTCCTGCCAAATAAAATGATAGTTCTTCAAACCATTGAGTATATCACCAGCCAGTTTCTATGAAAGAAATTTTTATAGAAGTGATTTATCGAGCCTTTTAATCGAAAAATAGTGGAAATCTTGTAGGAATAGTATATCAATTCCAAATAATTTCTGCTATTTTGCAGATAAAATACGCATAAATCAAGCTATAAAAATTTCTTCACAGAATTTAAATATCCTACGCACTTTGCCGAAATGTACGCTATGCGCGCTCGCCACTGCCGAATCAAATAAGAGTTCTCGAAGTACGAGCAAGTATTCTACAGACTATACCCATCTACGCTGCGGTGTGCGTTCCTTAATTTTATGTTCCAATTCTTGAGATCAAAGAGTATAAATAATGAAATAGAATAAAAGGAAATTAATATTATGATACCTAGGCAGATAATATTAACTGGTAAAGTGTATATTAAATATATTAATGAGATAACTACTCTGAAGACAGGGGATATTCAACTTTTATTAAATGATGATGCTATCAGTGTGATTAAAGGTGATTATGATAACCTCAAGGTTAGCGGATACATTAAAGCTAAGGTTTTTGACGGACTTGTCTGGCAAAATATTAATATCAGTGATTTATGTTTAGGTAAAGAGTATAAATTTACTAAAAGACAAAAAGCTCTGGATTCCGCTATTTTATGCAAAAATTTAATTGAAAACCAGAGAGGTGCTATTTTATATAGGACCTATCGGGGGCATTTTTCTTGTCAAGAAAGATAATTTGTAAGATTTTTATTTATTATTCGTAATTTATTTTATAAACTTTATAAGAAGAACTATGAGAACTTAAATATATAATAGCTGTTAAAAGAGGCCTGGATGAGACCTCTTTAAACTTTACTGCAATAATAAGATTGCAAGTTTTGCGCTTTGCTGAATGCAGCTTTGGTAGGAAAGTTTAAATGTACTTATGTTTTAAGCTATTGTTGTAAAGAAAATTAATGCTATTGTTACTGGCATTATTGATCTTACTGCAAGAAATCTTGTAAATTACAATAATAAAAGCCAAAAATAAGATAATTTAAGTTTCCTTAACAAAAGATTTGAGGGGGAAGGAACCCTTGGGCAGTGGGCTTATAGGTTGATCATTAGTAAAGGGAGACTAATTAGATGGAAACAGAGGATAAGAAGCCTAAAAATTTGCAAGAATTAACTGCTAAAATCAAAGAAGCGTTGGTAGGAGTGAATTATGGGGACGAGCTAGAGGCTGTAAAGTCAATCGAAATTTTTGATGCATTAAATACGGATGATTCTTTTACTCAAGAAATCGAGCAAATTTTGGCTTGTCTCAGTGAACAAAATTTAGACCTTACTAAGTTGCAAACTCAGATTATCTTAATAATAAAGAAATATTTAGGGAGATTTGATCGAGAGAAATTTAAGCAATTCGATCTCAAAATTGATGAACAGCTTATTTCTCAGAATATCACAGAAGTCAGTCATTATCTAATATTGCAGCATTCGCTGTTAATTAAGGAAGCTACTCGAGGGCTCTTGAAGCCTAAAGATAATTTGTATGGTATAAGTAATAAACTTCTAAAAGACACAAAACGTATAATAAAAAATTTTGCTGTGTATCAAATATATAAATTTATGAACCCTAAAAGGATTGCAGGGGAAACAAAAAAGGAAAATTTTGCTTATAATTTCATAAAAGGTGGAACTGAATATGCTAAAAAATATGAGGGCGGAGCTCCCGGTGATATCAAAAAATATCCTATAGAATTTATTAAAAAACTAGAAAAGGCGCATCAGAATTTTAAAGGGGGGGGTAGAACTATTGGGTAAATTTATCATAAGCTTCTTACCTAAAAACTTCGTTGTTATAGAATCGGAAGTAAGTTGTTTGCTGGAATAAGTTTTAGAGATGTATAATATTTATTTAAATAAATTAAAATTATTAAATTATCGCAATTTCCAGGATTTTGAGGTTAGTGTTAGTAATAATTCTGTTATTCTAATAGGGGGAAATGGTAGCGGTAAAACAAATATACTAGAATCAATATCACTATTTTCCCCAGGCAAAGGGTTGCGGTCAGCAAAATTAGAAAATATATGTAAGCAGCTAGCAGATCATTGTGAAGTTTATACCTTACTGCAAAGTAAGATGGGTCCTGCAAACATTGTAACCAGTTTTAAACGGGAATCGAGTAGAAGGGTGACCGAATTTAATGGCAGCAAAATACAAAACAATGAATTAAGTAAATTTACTTCTATGCTCTGGCTTACTCCGCAGATGGATGGTATATTTGCCGCTAGTACTACCGATAGAAGAAAATTTTTTGATAGAATAGTCTATAATTTTATTCCAACTCATGCTTATGCCGTGTCTAAATATGAATATTACATGGACATACGTAGTAAAACCTTATCGCAAGAGCAAATAGACGACAACTGGCTTAGCGTAATTGAAGGTAAAATGGCAGAATTATCTGTGGAGATTACCATTAACCGGTTAAAAACTTTACAAGATATACAAAAAACTATAGACGATTTTGATAATAATTTCCCTAAAGCTACTTTATCACTTAATGGTATTATTGAAGAAAAGATTTTAAATGATAATAAAATAGAACTAGACTATATCAAGCAGAATTTTCTAGTATTGCGAAACCGTGATAAAATCTCTAACCGTACAAATTTTGGAGTACATAAGAGTGATTTTCTGGTCAGTCATAGAGAAAAAAATACATTAGCAAAACTCTGTTCCACTGGCGAACAGAAAGCAATGTTAATTGCTTTAATACTTGCTCAGGTTAATTATTGTATTAAAGCAGATATAGCCATGCCGATTTTACTGCTAGATGAAGTTTTTGTTCATCTCGATGAAGCAAGAAGAGGGTATTTAATTGAGCTTTTCTTAGAATTAAAATTACAACTATGGGTTACCGCTACTGACCTTAATGGGATAGAAGCTTTAGTTAAAAAAGCAGAATTAATCAAACTACCGGATTAAAAAATCGCAGTACTTACAGCCAAACATTGCACTATACTGCTCACGGATGAAGAGTATACCAAGAAGACGACCCAGGATAGTAAACAAATTAGGATTTTTCAATGTTTATAGCAGGTAGGCTAGGGGTGATACTATTGATAATTTTTTCTTATAGTATTGCTTTATCTTTTTCGTGCGGCGGCACTGATAAAAAAGTTTTATTTGCAACGGAACAGTGGCATGGAGAAGTCCACCCTTCTACGCTGGTAGTAAAAGCTAGTAAAATAACGAACAAAAATATGATGGTGCTAGTGGACACCCCTATGAACCTAGGCTCCGTTACTGACTTAATATGCGATAACAAAAATGCGAGTTGGTATTATCCTGCACACGGTATTAAAATTAAATTGGCTCTAGAAGAAGAGAGATTAATTTTTCATATAGAAAGTAATAAGGAACAAGGGTTAACATTTCCACGAAGCGGCCATACTCTTGAAAGTCAGGCAATTATTTACCCGAATAGTGAAGGATTATTTATCCCGCAGCAAGACCTATTCTGGCAGAAGCAGCTTGTAGGTACTAAACTACAAGTTAATGAATGCTTAACAATGCCTTTTTGGGGGATATATTACGATGCAGGCTCAATAGTATACATACTGCATGATGATTTAGATAGTGAATTATCTTTTAAATTATCTGTAGATCGTAAAGTATATGTGCAGCTAGAACATAAATTTTACAAAGCAGATAACATTAACATCCCTAAATTTAAATTTAGTATTACTTTAGGTAATGGGTCTCCTATTGCGCCAGCGTTAGAGTACAAAAAATATTTATTATCAAAAGGGAGGCTAAAAACTCTGCAAGAAAAAGCTATTGCTAATAAAGATATAGAGAAATTATATGGAGCTTTACATATTTACCTCTGGGGCAATGGTAGAACCCATAGAGCTATTGATAAGCTATATAAGCTTGGTTTGCACAATTTATGGCTAGGCTATGATCAAGACGAACGTATGGGTGATAACGTAGTAACAAAAGAACTGATAGAAAAAGCTATATCCTTAGGGTATTTAATAGGTCCCTATGATTCTTTTCATACTATGGAGAATCCTATGAATGCTAGATCTATTAATAGCATATTTCCTGGACATTACCCTCAATCTTGTATAATCAATAAAGATGGTAAAGTAAATGTTGGTTTTGGTGGGGTTGGTTGCCATCTAAGTTCAGCAGCATTAGCCGGAGAACACCCTAAGAATAAAACGATATATAAGAGATTAGAGAGTTTTGTAAGTACTGGCATTAATTCATATTTTCTTGATTGTGATGCAACGGGAGAATTATTTAATGATTATTCTCCCTTACACCCAATGACGCAAAGTCAGGATCGTATAAACCGAATTGAAAGAATGGATTATATAAATAAAAAATTAGTTCTTGGATCTGAGACTGCTGCGTGGTGGGCAGTACCGTATATAGCTTTTGCTCATGGTAATCTTTCTGTACATAACGCTATTCATTGGAGTTTTTCTAAAAAGAGCGATCAATATGGTAAATACTGGCCTCCTGCTAGACCAGGATTTTTTTTTAAGTCAGTAGAGGCCCCTATTGATTATATTAAAGCCAGGTATGATCCTAGGTACCGGCTA